ATTTAATTTACCCCAGAATGGGAAATGACCGACCCCCAGCCTTTTCTTTCGCTACCAGCAGGCCTCGTGTAAAACCGGGTTACAAACCCTTATGTCTGCATCAGTGTTCCCCTGACGAGGAGTAAAGATGGAGGAATGATGCCCATTATTTCCCTCTTTATTAGTACGAATTCCCAAGGCACGTTGGGGCTATCCACTATACAGGAGTGTGAATACTCATGGAGTTCCCAAGGGTTGCGCTTTCAATTTTTTACCCAAGAATGGATATATCACGGTAGTAGGATGACAGTTCTAGCAATTGGGCAGCGTCCTGGGGGTAAATCCCGTTCTTATCCCCCAAGATGTATTTTAAAAAATCATTCCTGGTTGTAATAACGATTTATAAATTATTTTATAGAGACCTCCCATGGCAAAATTGCCAGTGTGACGGATACTGGAATATGCCCAATGGGATCGAATTCATAACCTTAGGATTATGAAACCCCGGTCAGAGGATAAAATAATGATGTTGGTCAATATTCGAGGCGAAAACATATCACTCCAAGCTTCCAGTAATGATTGGTTAAAAACCTCAGGTTGCGGGCAAGTATCCCGTCCAAGCTTGGGACGTGGAAAGCTGCCAGAATAACTAGTTAAAGGTGGACAAATAACAAAATACATTTTAATGTGATGGAATTACGAATATTCTTGACCGCCCTTAGAGGGCGGTTGGAGAGGTACAAAAAAGTACACCTCAAATTATATATTTTTCATGATTTATTTTCAAAGCCTTAGGGAGGGATGATGAGGGATATTTTCCCGAAAGCTGAAATAAATAATGATGCGGGTCAGCATACTTCTGCTGGGAATATAATTCCGACATATATGGATTTATGACCATATCAAGCAAACTTTAGTGGATATACCCAGCCGGCGCCCGATGAAATACAAATACACGAAATGCCAAAGAAAACCATTTAGAGGAATTCAATCAGGTAAAATGTACCAAATTTCGCATAGGTTTCCATAACCTGCTCCGAACGGGAAAATTTTTGGGTTGGAAAATCTAGCATATATCCATCATGCAGGCTGAAA